TGAGTACCGGGTATAATAAGGAACAATTGAATGAGAATCCGAGTTTATTTATTTATTGATTCGCCAAGAGCATACTACAAAATGTAATGCCAACAATCATCTTGTCAACTCGCTCCGTCTATGTCCATCCATATACTCACTCTATGTCCAGCAGTCCTCGATTGTCCAGCCAAGGCAGCAACTGCTCTATGTAGCTGCGGTATTGTGGGTTGGTGAACAGTTGGTCTTTGAAGTTTCCGGCTGATTCGTTTTCACCCACGAAATTCTCGAAAGTGGCACCCTCAGTGGGACCCAAGAGCACGACAGGCAGCACTGTAATCGCGGGGAACAACGCCCAGTCTCCGTACTTATAAAACTGCAAGTGGAGCTCCCGGAGGGAAGGCTGACGACCTGTAAAGCCTAGCAGATCCAGATGTTTGGTGAGCTGCTCGTGGTAGTGCCTTATAAAGAAGTCAAAGTACTTCATCTTGTAGTCTATGTGCACTGAGGTGATGATAAGGTAGAAGATGTCCTGGACCGGGGAACCGTAATTGGGATTTTGGAAATCCACAAACACCATATCTTCAGGTTCTCCCTTGGAGTCGAGCTTGAACAGCAAATTATTCATCCAACAATCGCCATGATTCAAAACACAAAATTCCGAGGGATCGTACTCGCTTAGCTTAAGGAACTGCGAGGCAAATTTCGAAAATGTTTTGGTCTGTTGGGATACAGTTTCACATATGCCGATTAAAGTATGCACTAATTGTTAATTATTGATCAAGAAGACTTACAAGCTTGTCCCGATACTGCTCTCCATCTTTTAGATGTTCCAGATGTTCCAAAAATTTAGCTTGGAAGGGGCTAAGCATTCCTTCCATAAAGGCTTTAATGGCATCCTTGTTCGTTCCGAGCATACCTTTCATGAATACATCTGGAAAAGGGCCATTCACCTCAATCATCATTGCGGTGGCCGCATGGTATTGGGCCAGTTTTCGAAGGGCAAACTTGGTTTGCTCCAAGTTGAGGCACTCCCGACGATTCAAATTCTTAAAACCGTCCTTACCCAGATCGTTCATGAGCACGGTATTGGCCAGTTTTGGCTCCTCGCTGGAGTCTAGCCTATGGGCGCGCGGTGCCAATGAGACGTCCAGTCCCTTGGCTTTATAGAGCTCTTCCAGTTTCGGCAATACATCCACATAAGCCAAATTCTCAGTATTGAAGAAGTTTGCCATGGCCAGCATTTGCTCCATATGAGGAGTTGTATGTGGAACCTTCAGCATGAAGGCTATGGCCTTAGTACTTTTGTCTGTAAGAGGGGAGAAGTGGCGAAAGATTATTAGAATTTGGTCAGTCATTGTTAGTTTTCGAATGCATGCAATTGCTATTATTGTTGTGAAATACCCACAGCAAGACAGAATACATTTTACGATTACTTATCTGAGCCCAAACCGTAGCCAAACAGCGGTAAGTACTTCTGGCTCACTTTAAAGCGATAAACAATATTCTACATGCTGTGTATGTACATTCTTCCATTTATATTATCAGTTATGGTATCAGTCTCCAGGTAGTACTTACCATCGAGCTCCACATCAATGCTGATTCTAAGCATGAGTGTGGCATAATTCTCTCCTGGGGCCATGGCGGGCATGGCGTGAAACTTAAGAATCTTGGAAAACCGAGAAACAGTCGCAGAAAGTATATCCACAAATTGGGTCTCATTCAGCCAATCTGGCACCAGAGAAGTGCCGTCGGGGATTGTAGTGGGGCTGGTGCTGGGGCTGGGGCTGTGTGTGTCGTTCGATTTTGTCTGTGTCACCGGGGTGGGTTTCGGTAATGGGGGTGGTGTTGTCTCTTTGGATGCGATCTTGTTCTCGGGTGATTTTGGTGGTGTTACTTTATAGCTATGCTTTGGCTTAGAATTTCGAAGACCCATTGTGAAGCTGTAGCTGGAGGTGTACTTTGACTCTTTGTTCGAATAGAGATCGCGATTTGTGTGCGTCCGTTCAACTGTGCGAAGGTTTAGAAACTGATATTTGACTTCAAATATCACCTAAATATGTACGTGCATAAGTAGTTGTGTCTCAAAAATCCCAGGCTAAGTACACAGTGCCGAAAGCTCGTACTGTTGATAGCTACGCTACGAGTTTTCTATTGTTTTATAAGTGCCGTGGAAATGTATACGCGTTTGTGAAGCAAATTGAATGAGTGAGGGCTTGATGGCGATTTGGGAATTGAGTAAATGTGAACCATCAATTGAGCTTTCACTCAAAATTCGTCGAAAATCTTTAATTATATTGTTTACATTTATTTTATTCACGCATTCTTCGGAATTAATCAACAGAAGTTGATGCTGTTTTGACCACATCAAACGCTCCTCGACTGTGTGCCCAAGGGAGCACCTCCTTCAGGTGCTGCGCTATGCGAGCGTTGTGGAAGAGGCTGTTTCTGAACTGGTCGCCGACCCCATCTCCTTCCTTACCCAGCAAGGCATCCATGTTAGCATTCTCATTTGCATCGACCAGCACGATTGGCAGGAGAACGGTTACTATCGGGAAAACTATTAAAACAAAAACATATTAAGTATAATCTAACGTGAGGATCATCCTGTAACTAATCTAGTGGATACGTACTCCAGTCCCCGTAACTCAAGATGGACTGATGGAGGCTCTTCAGCTTCGGCAGGCTCTTGGGGTACTTTAGTAGTGTCAAGTTTTCTGTGAGTTTTTCGTGGTAGTAATGGATAAAGTGGTCAAACTTTTGTATCTTTATGTCGCCGTTGGCGGAGGTTAGAATCATATAGAGCAGGTCCTGGGCGGGCGAGCAGTACCGACTCATTTGAAGATCGACGAAATATGTTTCTCTGAGCCGACCCTCTTGGTCGTATTGGAACATCAAGTTGTTGCACCAAGCATCGCCATGATTGAGTACGTGGAACTCATTTTCGATCTTGGGTGCGTACGCCTGGAACATGTCCTCTGCTTGTTGGCTGTATATTTCCTGGAAAATGCCCAATTTGTAGTTGGAATCGGTATATTGTGATAGAGAATCGATTTACAATTGTTTTTTGCATGTGCGCGGCATTATAGAACGGCAGCGATTGGACAAACGTCTTGGATTGCTGCTCACGGAACTCCTTGAAGTTATCCTCTGTGCTACAAAGATTTCGATCGTACATTTCTGGATAGAGTCCCTTAAGTTCAAAGCGCACTGCCGATGCGGCATGAAATTGGGCCAGCTTCTCCAAGGCCGCCTTGGTGTGAACCATGTCAAAGCCCTTCTGACGGTTCACATTTCTGAAGCCGCGCCGGCTCAGGTCCTCCAGGACAATGAGCTCCTCGTTCAGTTCCTTTGAATGCTTGTAGTATCGTGGCCCAAAGGTAACCTTCTTCTTGGCCTCCCGGTACATCTGCTCGAAATCGGGCAGGTAATTGGCATAGCAGTTGCTCTCCTTTTCGAATACCTTCCAAGTCGTCACGAAATCCCTTGTGCTGACAGTAGTGGGAAGAACCTTAGCCATGTACGAAGTTCTTCGCTGAGAGCCATCTGGGGAAGAGGCTTTCAATTAGAGAAGATTGACAAAGTCCATCGCATTGGACAGTGGACTCACCGTTCAACTCGATCGTGAAACTTGCACGCAGCAGGAGGGTTGTGTAGTTCTCTCCCTTGCCAGCCGTTGGCTCCACTTGAAACTCCTTGATGCTCTTCAGATCCCCAAAGTCGCTTTCTAGAAACTCCACAAACAGTTCCTGATCCATCCATTTGGGTATTTCATTTGCTTCAACCATTTCTCGACTGTTATTCGTCGCACGCCATGGCAGATGTCTTTTATTGGTTGCGTTTTTCAACAAACTAAGCTTTTTGGATCGAGCTTTTTTTTCGCAATTTCGTCGTCAGATTAAAAGTAACGCAATCGGGAGCTTTACTCCGTACTAGTTTGGTAAGAATTCAAATACAATCTAGTAAAACTATTTTTTAATATGATTTATGACAAGCACGCGACTCAGAAGTTTCCCTCAAAATTCTTCTCTACCTCTGATGTGAGGTTTTTTATTTTCTCTTATCTATTCACACATATTATTAAATGGGGCCTCCCATTATAGCTCTCTCTCTCTCTTTCTCTCTCTCGGAGAAAGCTTTTTAAGCTTCATTAAGAATATATGTTCAGACCAGCAGCAAATATATAATTATTAAGATCAGCTCGCCCATGAAGAAACTATAAGGAGGCCTCGTCGGTGGCAGAGTTACTCGCTGGTTCTGCCTATGGTCAGTGCTCGTTTGCTTGTCGACGCGGAAGGTTGGTTGCGGACGAATTTTTTTTCAAATTTTTTCAAAATGTTTATTTTTTCAAAACACAGATTACCATCATGAAGCAAACTCTTAAAAATTAAAATTTGTAACAATTATTATGTTTTTCTCATTGCGTTCAAATGGTTAATGAGCACACTCCGTTGTCGTTGCCCTCACACTTATAGTTTTTTTTATAAGCTCGCCTTGGTTATAATTACACTCTCTTTATACTCTCTTATATTAATATGCCATTGTCGCGCTCATCGCTCTCACAGTGCATATGTGTGCACATGTGTTCGTACTGCTTATATTGCAGTGCTTTGCAGTTTTCTTAGTCCCAGTCTAAAATATTGTCGATCGCCGTGCATCTCCGAGCAGTCCAATTAATTCTTTATTATCTATTTCCAACGCCAACCCGTTACTTTAATCGAGCTCTAAACCATTGTACATATTAACAAACCGAATCGTAGTTCACGGCCACGCCCCCTTTAAATTGTATAAAATCGTCAAATAATAAACAAAACGAGAAGGGACGTGTGAGACGCTTTTTACGTCCTCACAACTTTTATACCCGTCACTCAGTACTACATGTGCACCTTAGCGGTGTTTTGTCAAATTTTAAATTTTTTCTTCATCTGTCATCTACATCTACAACACTTCTCACACCAACACGCTCCGTTAGCTCGCCGCCCTTCCCTAGACCCACACACAATATATTTATGTATATATTCCTATTCCTCTTCGAAGTAGCCACGATTCTCCAGCCAAGGCAGAAGCTCCCTTATCTGCAGCGAAAACAATGGATTTCCGAACAGCTCCACGATGTCAGCGTCATCGCTGCCAAAGTACGAGAACGATCGATAAGATACAAGCAAGGTATTAGTTATGGTTTGGATATCAAATGATGTCTGACCTACCCCAGTGGCCGTACTTCAGCAGATCCAGATAAAACACGGTGAAGCTGAGCTGCTTGCCCCGATACTTGAGCAGGGTAAAATTAGCTGTTAACCGATCGTGGTAGTACTGTGTTTCTTGTTAAAAGCAGGCTGAAAAGATCGTAGACAGCTGGTCCATATTTGGCGGCGTGAAAGTCAACGAAGAGCGAGTCCTTCACGTTGCCAAAAGCATCAGTGTTGTTCAATATGTTGTTGGGAAAACAGGACGCAATCAGGATAACATTGAATGAATTCCTAGTATCTGAATGGTCTATGAGTCCTCTAACGTATTTCTGGAACGCTTTCTGTGGCGAGTGGAGTGTGGCTTGTGGCCTTACAAGGGTATTCATTAGTTGACTATTACTTACCACCGTGGAATCTAAGTTGAAGCAAGCTCTTCAGCTTGCCGATGCCGCAGCTTCCCCACCTTCCACGAGCTTTGGAAGCACTCTTTTCTTATCGGAACTCGTCTGTATATAGCGAGCTGTGGCCGCATGATAAGCCGCTAGTTTCGATAGAACTGCCTCCATGGCGGGTCTTTCCAGGCCGTTAAGGGTATTGGCCATACTGTAGTCCCTTTTCTGGGCATGGTCCAAGAACAGGCAGTGGAAGTTGCCGTGTTTTTCTCTGAGTGAATTTACTGACCTGTCCCGCGTCCTTGTAGAGATATTCTAGAGCGGGCAGAATGTCTTCGTACATTCGCAGCTCCATCGAGAAGTCCCCTTCAATGGGGAACTTCCTACCACTGGGAGTTGGCTCCGAGGATTTCACCAAGTAACTTAAGCCTCTTTTCATGTTTCCTGTTTGGTTACCTTTGGTTATTGCGAGTTTATATTCTTTTTTTTTTTGTGATTCTCTCACCCGCACATTCAACATGGAGCTGGACACTGAAGGTGGGTTGCACCAGGTTCATTTCCCACTTGCCCCGAATGGTCTGGATGCTCCTGAAGTCATCCATCTCCTGTTTGAGCAGACTCTGAAGCTCCTGCTGGTCCAGCCAAGCCGGCAAAGGCGACGGATCGTTGGAGACCTGAGTCACGAATCCAACGAATCCCATGCTGTACGGTAGGGGTTCTGGCTGTTAACTGTGTACACAGCGGCACTTGGCCTGCCTCCGAAACGGGTATTGTTTTCAAATGTACTACACATGAATCCATAAGCATCCAGATAGTGCATGTTGCTAGAATTTATTGAGTCTTGCGAATACTTGATTTCCAAGTCATCATAGATAAGTCTCAGCCACCAGTATGTGCAGAAAACTTCGCCACGGAAGTAGAAACGAATGGGAGTATATGACTCCATTCCATTGTTCTGCTCCGACAACATCTGGCAAATCTGATGGCAGCCTTCGATCTATCATGACCTAATTACGCCCGATAAATAGCTCAAAAACTGTCAGATATTGCAGCAAAATTCAATTAATTCGTCACACCGATTTGACATATGTACAAGCCCACAGGCAGGGGGGAATTCCAGCTAAGCTGATTTACTATGGGAAGAACTTAATATAGAACACGAGGCATGTCCATGGACTGAGACATACAAACATAATTGTTAGTGTGTTGTTAGTATTAGTAAATAAACTTTGTAAAGTTTTCCCACACCACAGGTATCGAAAAGACAGATTCCGCCTTTGATTTCCTGATGCGCTAATCGCCGACACGTGAGGCCACTTCATAGGTGAAGGCAGGGATGCGGTAAGCCACCCCCCCGATGCACATGGTGATGGACTTAATACGGCATGAAGTGTCACAAATTCATCAAAACATATTGTGCACCAGGGCGACCAAAACAACAGGGGAGCGACCCTTTTTGCGCTTGTCTGCAGGAGGCAACCCTCGCTAGCTGATGTCCTTGCAATATCCGTTCAGAATTAATTTGCTCCCTGGCTGAGGGAAGCTAATCTGTTGAAAATGGGCGTTGAACGCAAAAATTCCTTGGTATTTAGCCAGACAGAGCTGATCAGGGGCACGGGAGAGAGGACACAGAGAGTCCCTCAAGTGTTACACTTGTTCCTGTTTTTGGATTACTTTCTGTTTAGGGTGGTTTCAATTGACTTTGAATCGCACCCTCCCCTCTCTCTTGTCAGCCTAAATTTTTTAATAATAATTTCACGCGTTGTTTGCCTTGTCAAATTTTGGATAATAGTTTTCTTTCTTTTTCGGTGGCCCGGCCCGGGCCCGTACGCAATGTGACTTCATTGAGGACAGAACATGTGGTGTGCTTTTTCCTCTTCCAGCAGCTGTAAGGATTCGCACGCAAATCATGGTATGGTATATGGTGGGGCATGAAATTGTTCAAAACATGTGAGGGGTGTACTGGCAGGCAGCCAGTATTTAAAGGGATTATCAGGTGTACTCGTGTATTGGTTTTTTAAGTAACAAAATTTGGGTTGCAAGCCAACTGGTTGCAAGTTTCCCTTTTGCTTCCAAGCCCTCAGGAAAAATAGAGTCCATTTGGTAGTAGTTTCTATTATTCTGATTAAACAAACATTACGATTTTTGACACTCTTCACTTTCTTTTATTCGCGATAGTTCTTTATTCCGCGATCCACACACACACATGAAGGAGCATTATGTCAGGCTGTGGCTGTAGGGAGAGGCAAAGTCTCGGTGATATGCCGCCGCTGGGTGTAGATGATGGGGATGTATCGAGGGTGGGGCTGGCTGGTGGTGTCCGTTCATCCCGGGATACACATCTGAGCGAGACTTCGAGTGGGAGTGGGAGTTTGAGGGAGTGCCACTGAGCAGCTCAGCCATGAATCCAATATATGTGATGGCCAGGCGCAGCGTCTCTATGCGAGAGAGTCGCTTTTCGTAGGCGAAGGTGGGCACCTTGCGACGGAGCTTGTCAAAGGCCTCGTTCAGGTTGAACATGCGACGGCGCTCCCGAATGTTGGCCGCTCTCCTCTGGGCCATGGAGGCCACCCGGCGACGAGTCTTCTTGGAGGAGCTCGAGGACCCGTTCGACCGCCCATGTGTGCTGGAACGTTGGGGCACAAGTGGAGCCACCTGAGAGCGCTGCCAGAGTGCTGCAAGGATCCCGACAAGGATTCGAATTATCGTCACAGCGAACCACTTTTTAAGGTCTCACTACCGGAGTACTTACACAAATCGGTGCATGGGAACCCAGCGATGAGCTCTTGATAGGGCACTATCGGTGGCGGCGGAGGCGCCTCCTGGCCCCACAGTGGCTGGAACGGCACCTCCGGCATGTAAGTGGGCTGATCACTGGGGTGTGGATGCTGCATGGCTGTACGATTTTGCTCCTGCTGATTCCTGCTATTGCAATTGGAAGACCTTGGGTCTGTTCTGCTTGGAAGACTGTGTTGCAATAAGTTCCGTTTGTCCCTTCTGGTTCGGAAATCATCTCAGGCCGGGCCTCTACCGTGCTTATTGGATTTCCCAACCCTCTGTGTGGCAGCATCTGCGAGGAGGAAGCCATTTTGGATTGGCAACAGTTCGCCGCAGTTGGATTGGTCTCTGTTCTAGCCAGGGATAATGCTGACAGGACAACTAGGGTGGCCACTCTAGGCCACTCCCACTTCGGGATGGTGCAGCAATCAGCTTTTGTGGGTTGTTGCCTTCGCTACGAGGAGCTTTCCTAGCGGTGATTTCTCCAAATAGAATGTAGAATGTAGAAAGCACATGTGTACTTATACATATGTATGTATAGTACACCGAAACTTGTGTACATAAAATAAATAAATAAAATATAAACCTTTTTCGACAGACGGGAATTTCTTGCTTAAACCATTTTCAGAATCTTCAATTACTTTCACATCTCCCCAAATATCATATCTACAAAATTCAAAAGCTATCTGTTCCTATCTGTTGCATGCATCTGTTAATAAGACGCTCCCGCCGTTCTCTCATTCAGCTGCACTCCGGCTGAATGAATGAAATGTAGTGCGCCTTCGCGGATAAACTCGCCGGTATCCCGCTCCCAAGTGCCTTCTCCAGATTCAAGGAGATAGATGTCTTACCATATTCGAGTGGCGAACTATCGGCTATGGTTACTCATACAGTCATATGTGAATTGACTATGGAAATAAACAAACTTTAAATAAATATACAAAAAAAAGAGAACAACGCGAATCACAACTTTTGGTATGTTTCTTTGTTTTTATAGCCCCCAAAAATGAGGTTTAGGCTGTGTTTATTTAGTTTGCTACTTTTTATGTTTGGTGAAAGTCGCTCAGACGAACGAAAGAGTAGATCTCAAGAGTACTTCATTGTGTCAATAGCTTGAAATTGGATATGAAGTGCCTTGCGGAGGATACTGTTAAGCTAAGACAGACCCACGAGACAGACAGAGCGGACGAGCGCTGCTCCGGCAGAGTGCCTCACTTTGATAGCTAAATCCAGCGACAAACGACAAGCGACGAGGGAGCTCCTTAAAGCGTGCTTCAGCTTCAATTCAAAGGAAAACAATTCTCGGCAAAAAATAGTTGTAAAATTTGCATTTATTTCATTTTCAGCCATTACCCGACCCGACCCGACCCGGAGTTCTCCGTTGACGCGACGCGGTTTTAAAGAAAAAACAAAGTTCTCTCTGTAATCTCTGCTCCGATTTTTGCAGAGAAAAAGAGAATTCGAGTAACAAGAAAATGTCTAAGGCGATTTGTTTGTGCCTCTGTCTCAGTCCCTGTCCCTCTGTTTCTGTGCAACTGCCACTGCCACTGCCTCTGTGTCTGCGTCTGAGCTCTGGCCAAGATTTATGCTCTCTGTGATGGGAGCAAACTGTGGGAGCTACGAGCGAGTTTATAATATAAAAATGTGGAAATTCTGAAATTGTGGAAATTTGAATTTTCTGTTTGCTTTTTTTGCCATTTCCTAATTTTCCACGCAAATGCATTTTATTTATTACGCAATTTGGGGATTTGTTCTTCTGGCAGCCAGCAAAACTGAAAGCGCTTAAAGTTCAAGGCGCTAAGCGAGGCATTAGGACGGTCCTCAGTAGGTTTTGTCGGTGGCCACTGGTTATACTTATTATACCTATTATAGATTTCAGAACTCAATAAACTCACTGATAATTTTGCTCACTTGCACAGGACTAGGAATGCATCAATCAAGTGGATTAACACAGGTCGCACAATCGACAGCCGATGTGGAGGCAAAGCTGATGGGAAATCAACGTGGCAGCAGCCAATTGAAGTGATGATACCCAACACTCGATACACACACACGAGAAGGTGCAAGCAACAGCTCCCTTCATATCGAGGCTCCCCCTCACTATGGAGAAGGTTACATTTCCCTTTAATCTGAATCGAAATGAAGCAAACAGCACAAAAGGGTGCCCTTGGCTGGAGCCAAGCGACATCCCGACATCCACTTTGCCAATAAAGCAGCAGAAGGTGTGCAAAGGAGGTAAAATACGCCACAATGCGATACAATTTGGATTTATATGCATTGTCTGATTTATTTGTATTGGACGTGTGGGAGGAGTGTGTGTGTCTTTCACACACAGATCGTTCTCCATCACATCCCACTTTAAAGAGGAGTCTCTGTCTGCATAGTGAAATTGAGTCATGACTGAGCAGCAGAGAGAAAGAGGTCTTCAAGTCTTGTTTGCCTTCCAACCAAGCCTACCCAAGTTCAAAATGAACCTCAAGTCTTCCCGGCTACTGAGGCTTTAATGAGGATTACGTGCAATTTCATTATCCTGCGTTATAAATAAGTAACAAGTCAAATAAGCACAGAGAAAGAGTAACAAGAGAACAACACAAGATGCAGAGGAACGAGTCAAATGCCGACAGCATCCATATTAAAATTTAGACACGTACACATTTTATTGCTTATACTGTATTTTGGGACTAAGCAGTGGGAGAGAGGGAGTGCAAATAAGGAGTGAGTCTTGCGTGTCTTCATGCGAGTATATTGCAAATACCATCCGATGGATCCAGCACCAGTGATACCTCTGTTTATAGAATTTAATGATTAGTGAAAGGATTTCAGGGGTATTCCGATAGAAAAGAGACAAAACTTAATTCACCCACCCAGACCACAAACATTCGTTTCCTGCCCTTTTGCACTCTCACGAGTGTGATACATGCACACGCAATTTATATCAATTAAATGTGGATTACATTTTTTGAATATTGATTTTCGTCACAGCTTTCATGCATCCGGAGGGGCTCTATTAATTGGATTTTGGGAAGGAGAGTGGACCAACCCGATTTATGGCAGTTTGCACGGTTTGCATGTTTACCTTCGCACTCATTACCTCCTAGTTCCAGCAGATAAAAGCTACACGACAGTATGAATGCTGCTAAAACTTTCTTCTCTCTGCAGCACTTTCCGTACATTTATGATGTTGTTGACACTGCCACTGCAGTCAACGCAACCGCCATCATTTCCTTTTAAATGAATGGTTGGAGGGATACACAGTTGATTTTTTAATTTAATGTTGATTGTTTGCCTGTCTTAATTGTGTCACATTGCAGTCTTCCTTCTTAAATATTCAATCTTAAAGTAAATGTTACTTTGAAAATTAACTGAAGAGAACGCAGAATAGACAGGCGCTGGGCGCTGCTAATGAGCTTCTCCATGGACGTGGCATGGACCCCTAAACGAAATTGACACCCAGTGCCAGCCGGCAGTTCAGGGGAAAGGCCAGTGAAAGGGTCCTCCTAATGAATGGCAGATGTTGTCGCTGTCGTTTCTCTATGTTTCTGTTGCTCTGTTGCGTTCTGCTCTGCTGTTAATGTAGATAAGGTCATCAGGCGTGGGGCACGTAACGAGGCGACCATAACAGCGAATTGCGGTTGAAAATGGTGTGCGACAATTGAGGAAGAGCTTCCTAGCTTATCAGTGTCCGGGGCCAACAGCCGGGATATTAATAAACATGTCGCCAATGTGGACCACATCCTGCCATGAATAAGGCGCACATTTCTTTTGTGCGGGGATCCATATTCTCGCTCATTTCTATCTCCGTGGGTCAGGTCAGTCATTAGGGAGGTAATTGGCAACTAATTGGCTCGATGATTAGCCGAGAGTTGGATTCTGATTCGAAACGTTTATGGATATTGATATCCCTGGTCATGTTTCTACCATCGGAGTGCTAGGTGGTTACTCTTCAATACGAAATTCACTCAATGAAAGATGAGTTATTTTTTGCTCATCCTTTACAGGTTGTATCCCCACTCCGAACCGCGAACTTCGTTCTCCCCAGTTCAGTTTTTCCGCAGCGAAAATGTAATCAAAAGTTTGCTGATTAAAGTGAAAATGCAAAAAAAAACCGGAAAAATTATGAATCAATTTTCCCATAGATGGGGAGAGCGAAGTGCAAAGTCATCAGAGCAACTGCCACACAAGTGGCAGGATCCAGGGAGAGGATAAAATTTGCATTGCTACTTGGGCACTGGAGACTGGATGGATCCTTACAGAATATGATAATTTTTTGTTGTTGATTAATAAAGCCCGCAGAGAAAGTAGTTTCAAAGTAGGCTACGGGAAATTCATGATGTCGTGGAGAGGGTGTCGAGGTCTCCTGGAGAAACTCTGACTTTCCTGTGTTGTTCATTCGTTTTGGTTATTCCACCTGGGATGTTGTCAAAGATTTCAGTAGTTTTGTTTTTATATTCGAAAGGTTCGAATCGGTTCGTGTGTTTTTTTTGTCTAGTAAACAAATAAATAGGAAACTTCAGGAACTTCTTCTTCCATAGAATGGATCGCAATTTGATGTTCTTCAGTCCATATAACAATCTAAATTTAGTTGAAAATCTTGACAGCCAAATCATGATGAGTCCTGAGCTCCACAGCGACTCGTCGTATCGCTGCGAGGATGGTGGCGGCGATGCCAGCGCTTCGCTCGTTGGCGAGGAGGAGAACCCCGCCTCCTGCTCAGCCCCTGCGGAAGGGCAGATGAAAATGATTGTGGACATGGGGCGGAATGTATCTGTTGTGAATCCCGTTATGCACACACCCTCCGAAGGGGCAGTATCTATGGTTAGTCGCTCCTTCGGACGGATGCCCTATCTGAGTGTTGGGCAGCATGCAACGTGCTCCTGCCCCTTCATCCGCATTGGACACGAGGAGTATGTGCTGCAGCCGGACACCATTTTCGTGCTGGGGATGCGCCAGAGTATCACTAAGAACGACATAATCGTGTGCTTCGGCCAGATCGGACAAATCAAGGTGGACGAGGGGACCCACAAGCCGAAGATCTTCGTCTACAAGGACAAGCTGACGGGTCGCTCCAAGGGCGAGGCCACCATCACCTTCGTGAGCCCCTTGTGCGCCCAGGCGGCTATAACTGCCATGAGTGGCAGGAGGTTCATGGGCCACACCCTGACGGTGCTTCCCGCCTACCTGTCCACACGCTGGGGTACCGTGCGCTACAGCTACCCCCGCAACCGTGCCATGGAGCAGCAGCAGCAGGAGACGCGCTCTCGAAAGTGGAAGCCCGCCATCGACAATTGGTCCTGCCTCGTGTGCCGTAACAGCAACTTCGTGTGGCGCTCCTCCTGCAACCGCTGTCTGGCGGACAAGGGCACGGCGCCAACCTCAGGGATCTTGGGGAACTTTAGCCGACGTCGGCCCCACAGCAACGATTGGCTTTGCGACGGTTGCAACAACATCAATTTTTGGTATCGCAAAAGGTGCAATCTGTGCAACTCCTCGAAGCAGAAGACAGAGATGAATGGGGAAACGGACACCCACTCCATGGAGAAGGAAAAGTGGGACCTGGTGCTGCAGTCTTCAGCGGAGAACTTGCTCTCCGCCCATGATATTCCGATGGAAGTTTAATGTTAAAGCGATGGCCAAAATGCCTCTAAATTTGATGTAATAAATGTCACGCTAAATTTTGCAATCGCTTAGGTCTCTGGTGGAAGCAATGAAGTCACAGAGGAGGAACTTGGGTCACAAGAATAAGGCATATAAGTTTTGTCCCTGGCAAGCCCTGGTCCCCGGGCTTTTCCCTGCCATTGTGGCACAGCAGGACAATGGAGGGTAAATCCACTTAATCCTGGCTAACTGAATATTTTACTCCATGAACAAAGGGCATCCGGCTCTGTGGACTGCATCTGCATTCACCTGGAGAGCTCCTCTAATCGTTTAATGAATTTATTTACTTGCCTTCTGCTCGCACCAAGAGTGCCAGTGAGCCAGTGGCTGTGGCTGTGGCAAACCACTTGAGTCTGTCCTTCCCCAACCGCTGGTAATTGCTCCTCCCAGCTCCTTCACCTGCCAGTGTGTCATGTGATTTAATCAAACTTTGCTGCAGCTAAATCTCTCCCACGATTCCTGCCCCCAAAGGGGAGCCTGACTGCGCATTTCCTTGTCGCCCGCATCCTCGCATCCCCCATCATCCTATGCTGCCACAGCCGCCTGGTGGACTTTGTGTTGTGTTGAATTTACTTTGCACTTTCTTCCACACGAATGAAGATGGCAGCTGCATAGACCTGTGTCCTGGTCTTGGGCCTCTGTCCTGAAGTCCGTCTGGGGTCCATTCCTGTTCTTTGCTCTGGCGCCCGCAGGATATTTGCGTAGCTGCAGGTGTTGCCCCTGCCACCTCAATCTCTCTTCTTCGCGCCTGTTGCAACAGGCAACAGTGTCGCACTTCACTGCTGCTGTTGCCCCATGATGCCGATTTAAGTGCCACAGAAGGAGAGTAAATGCAATAAACACCATTAGCTGCCACTACTTCTGCCCTCTCAGAGCATTGGCCATGGCTCTAGCTCGTGCTCTTGCTCTTGCTCGGGGTCGGACCATGTTTTTATACCCGGTACTCAAAGAGTAAATAGGGCATACTGTATTTGTGCACAAAGTATGTAACACACAGAAGGAAACGTTTCCGACCCCATGAAGTATATATATTCTTCATCAGCATCAATAGCCGAGTCGATAGAGCCATGTCTGTCTCTCCGTCTGTCCGTGCGTCCGTCTTGTTTGTCGGCTAGTTCTCAGAGACTATAAGAGCTAGAGCCACCAAATTTTGGTTCCGGACTGCTGTATGCTCACACTGTTACAAGTGTATTTCAGAAATTTATTTCCAGTGGCTAGCCTGTCCCCCATTCACACTCTGGTTCTGCCGACTTTTAACAAACCCCGTCCCGCAGCTTCTGCCGCGAGTCTGCAGTGTGTGGGTCTAGGGAAGAGCGGAGAGCTAAAGGAGCGTGTTGGTGCGAGAAGTGTTGTAGATGCAGATGACAGATGAAGAAAATATTTAAAATTTGACAAAACACCGCTAAAGTGCAGATGTAGTACTGAGTGCCGGGTATAAAAGTTTTGACGCGGAAGAAGCGTCTCACACATCCATTCTCGTTTACTTTGCTTTTTCGCCAGAGAAAGTTTACTCCTTGCCCCCAGGAACTAGGCCACCAAGGTAAGCAAAAAGAACTGGAAACTGAAACGAGTAGAAAACGTTGCCGCATCAAAATGCAAAGGCGAAAAGCAACTTATTCGTAAGTGAATTGAATGAAAAACTTTCAAACTGCGGGCGCCATAAACTCTGGGCGCAACGCAGGACGAAGGGCGATGGACGATGGAAACTTTGCTGAAACCTTTGCTGAATTTGTTTACAGCTCCGAAGATTGTCTGCTGTTTGTGTGGCCTATTACAGGCTTTTTCCTCAACATTTCAACATAATTAGGCCATTAGTTAACTTGTTTCTGCCTTTCAAGGGATCCTCCTCGTAGGTCTGGCAATGTATCTACGATTATTCCTCTCTCTGTCTCTGTCTACCTTTTGAAGGAGAATACAAAAATAATCCTCGAATGCCGAATGCCGAATGCCGCAAAAACATAAAACAAACGCCTTTTCGCTTTGGCGCCTCTACTCTTGCACTTGCAGACATTTCTTTCACTGAAAACCACTCAACTTCACCCACATACGAGTGGCACGTCACACCACACAGCATTCCATGCCCCAGAATGCAGCTCTTGCGGTTCATTGTACTTTACGAGCATTTTTCAGCGGAGCGGAGGAGGAGGAGCATCCAAGCTCGCGACTTCCGCATGTTTTTCCTGTTGTCGCCGGCTAACGGCTGCCACCGTTTTGTTGCGTTTTGCCTTTGTCTGCTCTGCTCTGCTCTGCCCTTTGCACGTGCATCGAACAATGGGTTCCTTCCACCACCAAGCGTTGAAATGTTTGGCCATAAATTATGGAAACTGTCGCCACTAAGATCGAAACTGAAGCTGAAAACTGAAAACTGAAAACTGAAAACCGCGCCACGGACTTAGATTGGCATGGTTCTGACGGCTCTGACAGTTTCAAAGCCTCGATGGCTGCTGCATTCGAATAACACGTACACGTCCACGTACCGGGGTTCAGCTTCTGGCTGTCATATTGCAAACGACACGCCAGGGAGCCCGAAACTGTCACTAGTGCCACCATTCGGTCGTATTATCCACCAAAAAGTTATCACAGATACACACAGATGCATAGAGGAATGCCCCTCCCACTTTGGTGCATTTGTGGGTCCTGTTTTCCTGACAGCAGTTGGTGTTTTTGTCGAGAATGGCCGTCACATTAGCACCATTTTCCACTCTGCGGTCATAATTCACTAAACTAATTGTCGCATTCCGCAGTCGAATTTTGTGTGGCTTCCCTCTCGACTTCTATTTTCACAAAAGAGTCTCTGTGGCGCTGTAAATATCGATGGCACTCTGTTCGACTAGCTGTTAAGTATTTAAGAGATGCAAAAGCGACTTTAAATCTTTCAACTCTTTCAAACGAACACTTCTTGGCAGCTTTGTTTCTGTTTCTGCGGCACCATGCCAAGAGGCATTTTCGCATAGGTAAGCCCTCGCATTAGCATTTCGCAGCCTTTATAGATAGAAAAGGGAAATTACGCTAAACATTATGATAAAATTTAATAATAAGGAACGTCGGCATTCCGCTGATTGTCCCTCAATGTGTAGCGACCCTTGCTAATTCTGCAACATTTTATGCAAATATCCTCCAAATCCAGACTGGACTTTGGACTCAACCTTTTTTTGGTAAAGGGATTCGAAAGGGTCCCCCTTCGGCAGCTATCTATACTATCAGGTATTTGTTTATACAGCTGCAATGCCGAGGTTTATTTTAGTACATTTCTTTGGAGCACCCAAGCCCCGACTCTTTCCTCTTGTTACCATTTATCCAAATGTCTTTTGAAATAGGCAAATAAGTACTTCTGGGCGTCACCTGGGGAGGAGAGTCGGGAGCTTAGTTCACTGCCTATAGACAGAAATTTGCCTAGGAATACTCTCGTAATGCCGCCAACGTGGATGTCATTCAGGGGCCAAAAAGCTGAAAACTTTGTTTTGTTTTATTCCTTTGGGGTTGGGTTTGGGTGTTATAAAATGAAAACAGCAAAATGAAACAGTAAAACTTTCGCTGCCTGGCAAATACGCACGCCATTGTGGGGGGAGAAGGAGGCGTGGCATACAGTGGGACGGACGTATGTACGTGATCCGGCTAAATTGTTCCCATATCTCTGAGTTGTGTCCCACTGTCGGGGCCCAAACTTCCAAACAAAGGTAATGCTTCTCCCCTCCCATGGAAACAATAAAAACGGCTTATGACGAAGTATAGTTGCCCCTTTTGTCAGGATATTCAGAAGGAAACTGCTCCAGTGTTTCCAGTAACAATTGAAATAAATGAATTTGCCAAAGGATTGAGGGTGAACATAAAATTCCTCGCATATGGGACTCGTACACTCCCGTCGATTACTGCCTCCCAAATGTTGATATTCCTTTGTTATTTAGCAGCCCGTAATTGAAGCCACTTTACAGTCGTTTTTCCCACTTAACCACAAAGGTAACCCACGGAAAAGTTATATCAAAATGGCAATCAAATCCAAATCAAAAGTTAGATCAAACCAACCATCCCCTGACTCCGATTTAAGGCCTCACAGGTCCCCTCCCATGGTGGTCTGTCATGGAAGTATGACACAACTAAGCCAATTTCAAGAGAGAGCGCCAGGCACCTACTTCAAACTCAATTAAACACGGAAGGGGGCAGCAGCAGAGACATCTGTCTCCACCCACACACCGTCCAACCGTCCTTCTGTGTGGAATGAAATTCTCCACGGTGGACGCAGCTGTTCTTTATGTGGGCAAGGGGCCTGCCCGTGCACTCCACTTGGGTGGATTACATATTTGAATACAGACCAGCAGCAGCAGCCACACTGCCAGACTGGCCCTGCCTGGGTCTTTATTTTGATCCCATTTAAAGGGCTGCAGGAACCGCTTCGGTTCGGTTCTTTGATAATGTATCTAAATAAAGAGCTTCGGTTCGGTCAATGTCGAAACTTTTAATAACAGTTTGGCAGACTTTAACTTTGTTAGCCAGGTCACTCGAAGCAATCCTCGACCATCCTTCTCTCGTACAATATTTAAATGTTCATCACATGAGACAGGAATAACAGCAAGCAGAAACAGTAATAGAAACTTGAGCATTCTGCAAATCCTGCAACACACACATCCCACATGCCACATGCCGATTAGAATGTTTGCTGTGTGCTCCCGGTCATTTGCATACATTCCCCACCCATTTAGTCAGATACACAGGGGCACAGACAGGATACACGTGAGGTCTCTTTTTTGACCCGCATGGTGGTGCATGGGTCACAGCCGTGCATAATTAGACCCAATTTAGGGGCTTGTTTCGTGTTCTTGTATGTGCCAAATGTTTGGTTAACAAATTGATTTCATTGCAAGCTTCAAGCTGCAGCAAATCATAAGATTCTCTCCGAGCTGCAAGAGTAAAGGAGCCTGTACTAGACAGATTTAAGAAAAGCCTTTCCAGTGGTTAACTAAATGCTCAGCATTCATGGCTCTGCTCGTAACTCGTTTTATTTTTGATTTTATCGTACTGCAATTGTCGATTTGGTATGATTGCCAGACACACCTGCTGTTCAGTGGCTGTTTCTTATGACTGGCAAACATTTAAGCATTCAAAAATTGAAACATTCAAGTTTTAGGGTCAACCAACGGGAAGCCATCGGTGCCACTCCCATATTCACATCCTACTCCTAATCCCACTCCCACTCCCACTCCCACTCCCACTTGCATCTATCCCAATCCTCGATTCCATTGACCATTGAAACGATTGGAGCGGAAAGCTGGCCAATTATTGTGTGCAAGGTCCATAAATAATATGGATAGCATGGATGTACATAGATGCACGGAGAAGGGCTACAGGAGATGGAGATGGTACTTGCATCGAGTGGGGAGCACCCGACAGAGCCCTTTCCTCCCAGAGAGCTCAACGCTCTGCTTGTCCCCGGCACACATTTCTAGTGTTTTGTTTATGTGGAGCACACATTTCCATCTCAAGACATAGAGCCGTCGTTTGCATAATAATTTAACTCATTATCCACACCCCTACACCCACACGCACACCTCCTGCACCATGCACCCGACTAAATAAGCATAAGTAAGACACACATTCCTTTGCCACACCAGAGAGAGCGAGAAAGGGAGAGCGTAGGGAGCGGAGGAAGGCGAATGCTGTTGAGTTTCGCAAAAGGATTTACGGCACCTTGGAGCACAAACGAGGTAATTTTAAGGCTCTGCGAGGTCAAGATGTGACGAAGACGACGACACATGCCACCACATACTCGCATGTAGCTCCAAGCAATGAGCTTCCTGCTTTCATTACGCATACGACACGTGTGCTCTGACACCTCAAATTTCGTTTCGTTTGCCATTAATCGTTTCTTTCTTTGGCATTTAGCTATCTTCATTCAATACATAGCTAGTTCTCTTTCTTATCCAGAAGAATACACAAAGCAGGAATGATGCGACGGAATGATGTGGCAACTAGTTTTTCACTTTGATGGACTTCCTTTCTATGACTAGTTGGGTAGGTACTTTTTATGCTCATACTCGCTGCTCTTTAATATCCTTTTCATGGCTATTATCGCATTGCTGTCGCAACCGTCTAAGGGGTTCATTTAGCTCCCTCTGTCTCCCCTGTAGGAAAAGCATCTGCCGTAAGCAACTGGTCCATGGCTCATCTCTTGACTCTGCAGCAGCCGCAACGGCCAACCCCCGATGCAGCAGCAGTTCACTTAACTTACTCAAGTCGTTGACGGCATAACTTCCGCTCCGCATTCCGCCTCCACTCGCTGGGCCAGAAGGTAGAGGGCAGACGGTAGATGGCAGACGGCAGAGCTTAGTGTCTTAATGCCAATGCTCGCACATTTTACACAATTTCTTATACACATTTTGAAATACTTTAGCAGCTGCATGCAGTGGTACACTTTTACTTACATCTTCAAGAGGATGCGCCAAAAGGATGTGCAAAGGATGTGTATGGATGTGGGGATGTGGATTGAGCTGCTTGAACTACTTCTCGTAGTAGTTGGATTACATTCGAATACTCCTACAAGACAAGATTGAGCGGAGATGCAGAGCATTGAATGATAAAACAATATTTACAGAACCTCAGAGACTCTCATGATTCCGATTTTGTTTGATCTGCTCTCAGTGTGTGCCGGAAAAGGGTCACGTCACAGAAACCTTCTGCTGGATGGATGTGTACTTCCAATTCAATTAGCAGCATTTGATCTTTGGGGCAAACAAAGGAGTACCACTGAAATGAGGCTGCTTAGTGAACTACTTTGATCAACGACTTGGCACCGAGTTGCTAATTGATCTGATTTCCACATCAAAGATGCCTCTGCAGCCAACGAGAGCCAAAAGAAAGTGAGTTTCAGGTGTGAAACAGTCTTCTGGGTGGCTCTTCTGCCGTTCAGTTCTTAAACCGTTCTCGAAGCATTCGCAACAAATGCATCGAACACATTTAAGCATCTTTCTGGCTGCACTGTTTCTGGCCTGTGACTGTGCCGGAGTGCGAGGAAATCATCTGAAACGCTTCAGCCGATCGCTCCTGTTTCCGCCCACCAGTCCGACGCGTGTGCAGTTCATTGGCGGCATTGGCATACCCGTGGAGGGGCTCCACTTCGAGTCCGTGACCTCTGGATATGTCCTGAAGGCCGAGTATTTCCTGCCCACCAATGCCACAGAGATCACGCGGGTGTACCTCAAGCCTCAGGCCATAACGGGCAGAGAGGAGGATGAAACGAACTACGGCGCACTCTACCGCTGGATCATGTATCGCGGCATCGAGATGGTCATAGCGAACGCGGGCCTTCCGGGGCGTAACTGCCTCCTGCGCTTAATCTGCGAGCACGCAGCCCTGCCGCTGAACCACGAGAGTGGCTTACTCGGGGAAGTGCTGAACATCATCCTCACTCCTTCAAGCTCCAGGGACAAGCTGGCGGCCCACGGCTCAAACCGCGACTATCATGCATCGGAGCGTTTCGGCCGGCGAGGAGGCGACTGCGAGGCGTTATATGCGAGCAAGTGTAAAAATACACCCATGGATCTCATCAGCATGTTGCTGCAAGTCAATTAATAAATGGATATACTCACGCACGTAATTGTGTTTCACTTCAATTACAATGTTAGTGGCATAAACAAATGGAAGTCACGTCGATTCAATGTTCCCCCGCCGCTACCCGAGAACAATTACAAAGTTGATAAACATTTTACAAGCATTTTTAAACATTAGTTTTACGCATCGCAATCGCATTCGTGCGTGTCCTGCATTCGGAAGAGGTGCTGCATCAATTGTAATTAAACACACGATATATGACAGCCGACATTGCGTATGGGAGAGAGGAAAGGGAAGACAGGTCACAGGTCACACCAGGTGAATCATTGGGCACTTAATTCGCTTAAATTTAAATGGCAAGTGGATTATGTGGCGACTGACTCTCTACATGAGACTAATACAAAATGTACACTGTACTGTGCCTTCTCATTAAGCCATCCAGGACACGTATCCTTAACACTCTCCTTCATCCTCCCCCGAAATGGGCTTTGGCGCCTACAGACCCATGAAATAATTACACACATCGGATGGCAACGCGACCAGAATCAAGGATGGTGGATGTCTGGCACTTGCTTCTGGCATTTCAATGCCAGAGTGTGGAATGTGGAAATGAGTTTAATATTAATTAGCAGCCTGTCAACGCGTGTGGCAAGTGTAACAGCCGCATTCAGCAAAACGAAACGCCAATAGAGCGAATACAGAGGCACCCCAGGGGCCCCTTCTCACCCACCCATTTGGCTCGGTTCGTTCGATCATTAGTTGAATTGTGTGTATTTCTGTGTTTACTTTAAAACATTTAAGCCTCCCAGAGAGTTTGCATCTGTCCTCAGTGTTTGCCCCCCAGTCCGGGTCCGGGCCACAACAATAATAAAAATATTAAAAATAACAATATGAAAATGAAATTCTTTGGACAGCAATCGGCCTTTGCGGAAAGTTAGGGTGGGCAAGGGGTTAACAGACAGCATGTTCGGTCCATTTGCCTTCAATTTATAGCTACCCCAAGGCTGTGTATGTTTCGGTCAACATATGTGCTAAATTATTTAGCAATTGCAATGCAATTTCATGCCCGAAAGACCAACACTTTGTCTTCGCAAGGGGACTTTAGAGGAGTGGCACAAATGGATCGATTATAATTATTAAATAATATAATTAATATACATTTATATACATATACAATATGTAATATATACACATTTATACATATATAATATGTAATATATAATATAGAATAATTACAATTATTACTGTTTATTTTTGTTGCTCATACTATCTCTCTCACACACTCGGCCTCATACGTGTTAATGTAAGAATTTATGTAGATGTACATAACCCATGTAGAAAACACGTACAATTTAAAATTACAAAAAATCATAAGGTTAAATACATATTTATGTAAATATGTACATATGTAACACACTAAGGCTACCTAAATACTTATGAATGTGGGAACAAAAGTTGTGACGCGTGCAAAGCGTCTCACAAACCTCCCTACTCGTGTTCTTTAATTTACACACACTCCCTGTGCTTCTCGTTCCAATGTTGAGCGATTTACGCCTAAAGCTGACATACCAGACATTTCCTGTAGTACTCAGACACTCAGAGCCCCTCAGAGTCCTTCACTAGCTGCAATCCTTTCACACTAAACACAATTTAAATACGGGAAGTCGAAGGGAAGCCTAGTCGATGGTCTGCAAGTTTGTAGTGCCTGGATTTATGGCCAAATGTGGAGATAAACTTGCTGTCATTTATCACGAAGCGGATTGCTGGTCCTCTCTGGGCATCCAGGCAGCCAGGCATCGCCACTGCTTCGACCTTTGAAAACATTTTGACTTGAAATGATTACACCAAAAACTCAACAGATAAAACCCTGAGAACGAACCCTGGAACCCTAGAAGCGACCATAAATCAGTGAGTAAATGTAACTCCTCTTCGGACTCAGAGTCGAGGACTTCGTGGACACTTTACACAAGACGAAGACTATGATAGCAGTGATGAGCAGGGAAAGTACGAGACGGTCCTCAGTCCTTCGTTCGCTCGAGTGGCGAGTGGATGGTGACTGGTGGGCAAAGGTAGTGGTAGCAGGACCAAATTGCAGTCAGCAGTCAAGAAATGGCATGGGGTATAGATTGGCAACATTTTATGGCAAAAGTTACGTTCGCATTTATCTTTCGAGCAAGTGTCACTTGTGAGAGTTTCTTGAACCACAGCCATGACCGGGAAGCTAGCCCGGATCCCAGATGGGCGAGGCACGTCCTGCCGTCCAGCAACAGGATTCAAGCATTGTGGCTTCAGCTTTAAAACGGGTTCTGCACTGACAAATGTGATGCTGCCTTTCCTTTTGTTATTGCTGTGTATCCTCCTAATTGGCACACACAAATTAGGGAATATTTAGTTGTGTTTGGAAACATTAACTACTCGACAGGCTGTTGTCTACCTGCTCCGAATTCGAATACTTTATACCCAGCACAGCGAGCAGTTCCAAATCAAAGCTACTTACAGGAAAGACTCCTTTGCATAGCACGTTCTAGCCATCAGTTTGCATACATAACAAATGTCATTCTGATGTAATGACAACAACTGTTGCAATTCTCCAACTCTGTCTCAGCATTTGTTGTAATTTGACAAATTAGCTGCCTTTGTGGCAGTTACTACTCGAAGGGGCACGGGGAATCCTCACTTGATGTGTCTCAGGAGAAATGTGATTTATGTGGCATAAAATAATTTATATCTACGAGTAGCTGTCGGCCCTAAAGAGCGGATACTTCGTGTGACAACATGGAGACACTTGCAAATATAAAGTTATTGCCTTGCCAGAGAATGACTGAAGCTGCGCAAGTTGTAGGCCAAATATTGCAGCAGATTCGTCGCTGATTAGCATAATAAAGTGGATTCCTGTCGCCATGGATATGCACATGGATTGTGACAGTGGCAGTACCAGACACAGTCGCAAACAACACGTCGTATGCGCAATATTAATTATTCAAAGCTAGCAAAATGTGACACAGGCGTCAACAGTGCGGCAGTTGTCGCATTTTCTCAGTTCCCATTTGAGTCGACACACACACACTCGCACACACCTTTTCTCCCTTTGTCTTTTGTCCTTAAGGTGTCTGCTACTCTGAATTCAAACGCGAAACATGTCTACCCCTCGCAATAAGCGAAGCAATTTCGTCCAAATTACAAAAATGTGAGTAAACACATTTTATTTGCGCTCTTAAGTTTGTTGCCAGAGTTGGACGTTCAGCGAGTTGACAGTCGCCAGTTGCCACAGAGCCTCATATGCCTCACATAAATCGTTGAAAATTCTACTAGGCCATGCGACTTCTTTTTTTCTTTTTTCTTTTCATTTAATTTCAGTTTTTTTTCGGGCTCTCTCTTTGTGCCTCCCAATGCTGCCGCTGCTGCTGCACTGACAAGAATTTGAATAATTTGCCAAAATGTGCGAAAGTTGAAATGTTAAAATTCCGAAATGAAACGAGGCGAAGCGTCGCACAACGTCGCCAAGGAAGAAAGCTGGCAAGCGGCTGGGTACTTCCGGTTTGGCTGGAAAAACTGGAGTCACGACCCGACAAATGGTTGCCAAATGAATGGCGTGGAATGGGTCTGGGAATGGGCACGGCTCCCGCGAGAATGCCAGGCAGAACAAGTTTCTTCTTGCTTTAATAGATCATTAAATTTATAGTCCCCCCTCCACGCCGAAAATAATTTAGCTAAATTTCGCTAATGTGTCGCACCATAAAACAAATCACAAACGGCACACAAAAGTCTCCCTTGTTAAGTTCCCTGACTCATTGCTTTATTTTGCCTTTTGTTTGCTTTTGATTTTCCATTCTTTGTCCTTCAACTTTGCTGATTACTTAGACAAGTATCTTCCATTGTGATGGCATATTTTCATACCCCACCTGACTGCTGCATGACTGCTCACTGGCATGCTGCATGCTGCAGGCTATGCAATTTCTTGTTGCTGTTGCTGTTGCTGCTTTCCTGTCGTTATCGCAATTTTCCCACTTTCCCACTCGGGCAAAGATGATGGCTAAGGAATTTTTCAATAAAGGAGCTGCGTTGCTGCTGCTGCTGCTATTGAGGAGATTAATAAGCAGCTTCAAGGACCTGCCTGCATGTCTCTGGATGTTGAGGCATCTTGCGCCATGACGTGGCACACAACTGAGAATTTCACGCAACACAGAGATGATAATTAAGAAGCGAGCTATGCTCTGCCCTGAATGCCTTCAAATCATAATTATTATCCTTCTTGCGAGCGCAGAGTGACTCCACTCCGTTATCCATGCGTGAATCATTACGGATGGCTCATCCATCATTCTTTTGGCTGGGATTCCAGGGGCTTCTATCTGCGATTCATATGACACTTCCATGGCGGGAAGGAGCACCTCAGGAGAAAACGCATTAAAGCACCAGAAAAGCAATTAAAATGCTCCCATGAATGGTCGCTCATTTATAAATAGTCGTGGCATACACATGAGGGGCACATGCATATCTATGAGCACACACTCTCTAATGGGCATTGCAGGATAATAATTCCTTGACCCTGCCCGCGGCGGGCAGCCGACCGGCAGATCCTCGAGCATTAAAGTCCTGCTCATTTATCACAAATTTCTCATTTGCCTTTCCCTCGCCACTTGGCGTTGTCCGAACTTCTTGTCCGAAAATTAATATGCGAAAATAAATTATGTGGCCAAACGAGCAACGTTTAACGCAGCAGCATCAGTGGCCGCCGAAGGTTACATTTATCACATTTACATTTACATTTGTGGAAAGGAATTCCACTTTCACACGCATGCCATTTACTCCTGCATGGTGATTTTTTTGCGTTCAGTATTCGGGGGAGGCTTTTCAGCTCCATCAGTCACAAGAGCGGCAGAAGGAGAAGCAGCAGCACAAACGTCGCTTGTCGCCCAGCAAGGAGCATATCGGAGTGTAAGCAGCGCATTGTGTCCAGCTTTAAATGGCCTAAAAATAATGGACTGCGGAAGCAAAACAAATGTGAACCCAGTGCCCATGGAGTTCTGCTATCCTCCGCTCCACGCT